TATTAATTCCTGCATTAATATGCCAAATATATTCTCCAAGAACAAGTTTTAGTGGGATATATTTGTGGCGGCCTGCTGGACGTACAGTCTCTTGAGGGGTATACACATTCAGATACTTACTGGTCAGTCACAGGGATCCATTCCTGTGATTGTAGTATCACAGCTATGACTAGCTTAGACCAGCTCTGACCAGCTTGGACAAGCTATGACCAGCTAAGACCAGCGGCCCAAGTGAAGACACTTGGGTCCCCACATTAAAAAACAACCTTGTGTCACAACCTGACTCAGTGGGGGGGTCAAGTAAATACTGCAAATGGTGTGGTGTACAGTAATTGTTAGGATTATTATCCCACTTGTTTTACAACTCAGTGATAAAATTTTGCATTTTATTTCTGCCATATAAGTCAACACCTAGTTTTGGAAATACTTTTTTAGGCTTGAAATCTCAACTGGTAAACCACTATTTATGGTAGGAATTTTGAAGATTAATGAGCTAGATTTTATAAAAGTAATGCTTAACTTTTGCTTAAAATCTAATAATGGTTATTTACACCGGATAGCTTATGATGTCATAGGTCAGAAATTATAATTTCTATTCCAATCCCTCTTAAAAAGTGCATGAAAAAAAATTATTTTTAAATTTAAGAAATATGAAACTCCAAAAGTACAATAATTAAGAAATTTGTATTTATATTTAAAAATAAATTATCTTTTAACCTTATATAGCCAGTATTTTAAGAGTATAATTTTTTGATCTATACACTTTTGTGAAACTGAGTAGAATGAATAATTTTATTTTTTATACTACACTAGCAGCATGGCCCGGCTTGCCCGTGCTTGATTCAAAAATCGTACGACTCATACAGCAATCGCTATCACTTGACTTAAAATATTTTTGCCCTTCCTTGCCTTTAAAGGGAATGCCATTTGCCGTGCTGATGTTGCTACACGCCTTACTTCTTGTCTATCTCACACTGCGAATTTTTTTCTAAGCTCTATACTAAACATTAAATCTGTTACGAAAAAAGAACTAAACAAAATGAAGACAAAATGATCAGCTTTAAAAAAAGGACCCGTAACTGGAAAAACCGAATGGAAAAAGAATGTTAACAACAGATACTTTTTCACACCCAATCCAGTTCTGCGGAATCAGAATCAACATTGAGTTTAAGCAAGCGAATGAGCCAATTGGAGTAAAGTGCCATGCAGATTTAAATTTTTCCCACTTGTGATGAATGTAGCTATCAATTTATTTTGCATGCTAGTTAACATTCATGTCAGTCAGCTGTTGGCTCTCACGCTGGCCAATAGAATCTTCCTGCCTATTTGTGGCAGCCAGCTATTGGCTCTCACTCTGACCAGTAGAAAATGGCCGTAAACTACATGAAAACTGCTGTAGAAGCATGAAAAACTTGATTATTTCCACTATCGATGAGAGTTGGGAAATGCAAAGTCAGTCTTGGCCTTCCCACTAACTTGGAGCATGTGCATGTAAATTTTGGTGCAAATCCATCGAAAATTTTGACCGTGCATTCGTTACACACACACACACACACACATCCTGCCTTTTATAGATAGAGATTAGAAATAGTTTTATTTTAGTTAAATGATACTTTTAAGTTTAGTACATTTTTTAATTATTTTTTTTTGTACCTGTCTAATGTCATAAAATATTTAATTGCACCCATTGTGGCCTCTTTGAATTATTCTGAATTTAAGAGCTATTGAATTATTATCATATTACTCTTCTGATGGGGAAAAATATTCACTCAAAAGCAGTCTTTCAGAATTATTTCCTTTTTGAACATCCATACTAAAAAAAAACCTAACAGTTGATAAAAAAAATATGTAAATTCTTTAAAAACAGTTCACATTCATAAATGGCATTAAACATTATATTTGCACATTGTTTGGACTGTTGTCCTCATCTTTATTGCCTCATTCCCAAAGTTTCGGCCATTGTAAGGTCTGGCCTTCGTCAGGATCTGATTAAATTTCTGAGATGTGGTATTGTAACTATTTACACTATTTACATTTTTCTAACTGTTGTCCTCATCTTTACTGTTAAATTCACAAAATTTCAGCCGTTGTACACTTTGGCTTTCTTCAGGCGATATTTCTTGGATTTTCGAACCGAACCTTTTATTTAGTCCACAGGGGAGATTGTTCTAATTGCTCATGTCATGCCTTTGTATACCTCAGTTTCAGTTAATTCACCTTGATAACACTCCAAATTTATGTTCTCTCCGCTGAGGCCAGGGATTGAACTCACAACTCTTTGAGTCAAGTCACCTTTTGGATCAATCAACCAACGCATTTATCCACTGGGCTTGGATAAAAGCCTAATAGTGTAAATAGTCAACAATACATATTTCTTAAACTTAGTTGATATACGTTAGACACTCAAAAGATAATGGACTTTTCTCATTTAAAATCCTTGACACAGTAAAAATTTGATAACTATTGCTAAAAAGTGCATGTCTTCCATGTCTAAGTCAAGTCTTTTTCATTTGATATTTTAAACTGGATGCTAAATTCCTTAATCTTTAAGAAGGAGCAGGTAATCCTTTTAATCTTGCCTTCCTCAAGGGATTTAAATCAGTCATTATTGGCCTCTCTAAAAAAAATAGCTGATTCTTCATAAATCCCTTTAAAAGAAAACTTTACTGCAAATCTTTGGGGATGTTAAACCAAAATTTCATATTTTCAAATTTCATGACTGATTTTTCCTTATTAAAATTTAAAATGAGCCCCCAGAGAGGTGCCCACTTTGAATTTAAATTTAGTTATTCTACAAGTGCACCCTGAAATAAAAAAGGTTGAGAAACACTGGCCTGTGCTCTTAAGTGTTTTTTTTATAAGATCTACTTCAATAAATGCGTTCCTGTTGGATCCTTCCATTTCTTTTTCATGCTTTTCATTGATGGAAAATCAATGCTATTTTTTTAATTTAACGTCAGGCCGATTTTGAATATTGCGTTTTGAACCTGAAATGATTTCTCTGACAGGCCTTTGTTGGTTTTTAATTTTCAATGTGAAAACTTCCACTATGATTTGTTTTTTTTTTCCTTTTAATTCTTTTTTTTTTATCAGGGCTCCAACACTTTCACAGCTTTGAATTCAGAATTGTCTTTTCACTAAACAGGCTGTCAATCAAGTCTAGAGAGCCACTCTACTTTGCTATTTCACTGAGTCCTTCCCAAATTGGGCTGTGTGCATCACATAAAAGTTTATTGGGATCACAAGTTGTTATGTAGTGGTTTCACAGTGGAGGCTTGTATTTGTACTAAGTCGGTCCTAAAATAGGTTCGACGTACAAAACATTAGGAACTTGATATAATAGGTAATGACGCAGAGAAAATCTAGTTGGGGTGGCTGATACTTTAATATCCGACTAACGGTCGTCCGACATCGACTGACTGGCCAAACTCACTGCTGACTCCTACTACTCCTACTTATTATAGGTGGGAGAGTCTATTAACAATAGAATAGGGGTGTTCCATTATAATACAAGTACAGTTGACTTTTTTCCTTCTTGAATTTCTGGGATGTTTTTAGTTTTAGTTTTTCCAGTCTCTTTTAAATCATTTCACCCCCAAACAAGGTGATAAAGCCACTAAGACAAAGGCTTACATGAAAGAATCTGAGAAAAAAAAAACTGTTAAATAGAGAGAACAATAAAAGAACAGGAATTAAGGAGATATATGACGACTATTGACATTGCTTTTATTTTTTGGAAATTAAAAGTTGACTGGGAAGCAAAAAGCTGGAAAAGAGTTCCCCAACTGAGAAATATGAGAGAAAAAACTGTTACCATAGAATTTGTGGTTACATCTAGTAATTTCAGATGTAAAATGATGAGACCTATCTGTCAATCTAGTACTACACTTAAATTTTTTGTTGAACTACAAAAGCTCATCATAAAAATTACCATGAAAATATTCACAGGAAAGGTACATTATGGTGGTGGGAAAGTGACTAAAACTAAGGTCCACTTCAAATGACGACCCCCTAAACTAACAACAACAAAAATGATAACCCCCTAATCTAACAACAACAGTATAAACAAATCCACAATTTTTAAACTTAATGACCGCACTGAAAAAAAAAAAAACTCTGTCATTTTAAAATAATGATAGAACATTTTCTATTTTAATTTTAACTTCACTTTATGAAGGCAGAGAAGAGCCTGAATTTATTTTACTAAACTGGGAGGTGTGTTTGCTACAAATTTTTCTTAATGAAAAGAGGGTCACAATTCAATATTTTTTGGAGAAGCCTGATTTAACTCCTAGCTGGCCTGGTTGGGGTTTTAAGAGATGGATTAATACCTTTCCTAAGGGGACTTGAGCGAAAGTGAATGCAACTGACTCACCTGGGATTTGAACTTAGTTTGCTGATTCCACTTTCCATGCCGATACCCATTAAGATCTTTTTGGTTTGCTTGTTCTGAACAAGTGCCCAAACAACTACTGCGATAAATGGGGTTGCTAAACTTCAAGATTGTTTACTCACAGTATTTGGTTAAAAATGTTATATAATAAAATGATACAATTTTTTTCAATTGTCTTGGCTGTATAAAATTATTCAACTTGCTGACAAAGAAAAATCAAAGTAAAAGAAGAAAGCAGATAAGGTATAAATCCAAATTTTTACATTTCAAAACAGTGTCAGAAAGACAGTTTTTCCATTGACACCACTATTATTTTAACTACCTTATCTCCTTGGCAATGTTGAGCCTATCTCTACCAATATAAGCAGAGTAGCATTAACATTTAGACAGATATTGATATAGTGACAACAGAAAAAGCATCCACATTAACGAACCAGGAACGACACATCTGCATGACACATCTGCACGATACACTGATGCCGGAAAAATCCACTTGTTCCTCCCAAATAAGGAACTTTCTCAACCAATAAATAATTGTATTTATTTTTAAATATGAGTTTTGCATACTAAAACTAAATACATTCCAAAAACTTTACACATGTGATTTATGACAGATGCTTGCTGTTCCCATGATGAACTAATTGCTCTGATAGAACAATTCTTTTCTTTTCAACAGTGTCAGTGTTTTGTTTGTTATTGTTTGTTCAGTAAAACAATGTTTGTGTTTATTTATATTTCTTTAATTAAGCCTGACAAAACAAATCTTAACTACAAAGTTTTTATTTTTAAAAACTTTTCACCTCCAACTTCATGATTTTATTACTTAGCACATCGTCAGGGTTGTCCAGAGTGAGTGAGAGTGGATTCTATATATATAAAGTTGTAGCCTCTGTCTGTTTGTTATCAAACTCCTCCCAGGGTTTTGGAGATAGACCCCCCCATAACCAAATATATTCTGAAACTACATTACCCAGGGTACTTGGATAAGTATTTTTCATTTTGATCAAAGGGGATCCCTAGAAGGAGGGGGCACAAACCTCCACTGAAAATTACTTTCCCTTTGATTTAAATGAAATTTAAATTTGAACAAGGGAATGATTCCTATCCAAAATATAGGAGAATGTCTGAAGATGGAGTTCACATCAGCAAGATCAAAATTAAACAAGATGGATGTCAATTTGAGCAAGAAATCATCAATCAGCAAGTAGTGCCTTATAATAAATATTTGTTACAACAATTCAACTGTCATATCAATGCTGAAATCTGCTCATCAATTCATTCAATCAAGTATTGCATCAAACGCATATCTAAGGGGTCAAATCAAGCTGGTTTGCACAAAACTGTCACTAAAAATCCCCCCCACCCTTTGATATAAATTAAATTTAAATTTGAACAAAACGGTGTGACTCATATCCAAAATAGGAAAGGAGAAAGCCAGAAGATGGAGGTCACATCAGCAAGCTCATTGAGTAATATTGAAATGCATCATTTTTCTCCACAAATTATAATGATTTAAAATCAATCACTTTCTTACCAAAAAAAAAAAAATGTGGGTAATTCAGTGAGTATATTATAAATTTATTTCCAATGTTTTAATTTAAAATCAAAGCATGTACTTGCGTGCAGAGGCAGTGCAAGGCTCTTGTGCACCCCCCCCCCCCAGACTATGATATGAATTCCCTATTCTACTGTGTTGCAATTTTCATATTTTTTTGAAATTCTGCAATAACATTGTATTTTCACTGTGGGTAGGTAGAGGTTGTATTGTCAAGGATCCAATTTGTACCATTTTCAGATAAATTTCTTTTCCTCTCTTACCACTTAGTGTCAAATTACTTTCATATCAAAGAGCAAGGCAGATAGCTGGCAAGGCACAGAAGACTATGTTGCATTTAACCTGTTGTAAAAAAAAAAACGAAAAGTGTAGAATTTTAATTCTACACTTCTGTGCAAACATCATCTAAAAGTGGATCACTACGAGATTTTGTTAAAATCTGAGCAAAAGCCAGCTTAAGGTGGATGACAGTGATATTCTTATATAAAACATATTTTTCAAGAATTCATTTGCTGATTGGTTCATAAACATATGGGAATTGCCATCCACCCACGCACATCTATTTTTCATCTTGTGAGTTAAATATTTTGGCTCCAATTTCCTGGAGCCTATCAAGTGTCCACCAAAGTAAATAAATTCAGCACACAAATTCATCTCATCTCACTAGTGAGCATCATGACCACAAACCAGTTACTAAACAAATCCATGTCATTTTATCATCTGAAGTGTTAAAGTTACTTTTTAACATAATTCAAGCTTACAGACATTCATAACTCTCACACTCAACTTTGTTTATTTCACAGCAAAGTATTTGATATGTCCCGAAAAGGGACATATCAAATACTTTGCTGTGAAAAGGGATATATTTGTTCGAAGTAACAAAGTGGTTTTGGACTACTGTAACCGAGTTGGACAATCTAGCAGGTAACCATAATAGACTGGTCCTCATCGTAGTGGTAGGCAATAGGCGTAGGCAATAGGCGAAGACTACAGGCATAGTCCCTGTACCTCCACATCAGTCTGTATTTATGGCTGACACCAGCCAATCAAATTACTGTGAGGGGGAACCCAGGTGTATGCATATTCATTACATCAATATTGCTTATCACTGCAAGTTCTCAATTACAGAACATTGATCATCTTCCAATTCATCATAAATTATCCATTATTATTTCTGGACAAAAATCCAGTCAAAGGGAGATAACTTTTACCACAACTTCATTTACACAAAAATTACATTTGAATTTTACATCGCACAAAAAAACTGTTTAATTTCCACATAAACAGATTAATACTTTCACTGACATTGTGAAAATATTATCACAACAAATTCAATGCACAATCTTTCACTTAAACTCACAAACTACATTCCACAAACATGAAAAGAGTTTAAAAAAAAAAAAAGATTCAAATCCCACAAAGATTTCTGTTTATATTTCTGAGATGAGGTATTATGCGAGAGACACAAAGCACTGCCTAGGACCCACGATTGGGCTTGGGTTCCACCCACTTATGGTTTCGGGATAGTACACATCAGTCCTGTTTGTGTGTCCATTTTAAATGGCACAAACACAAGACTAAGTCCTTCAGCCCTTCTTCACAAATATAACGAACTAACAAAGAAACCGGTTTCTTTCCCAAACACACGCATATAGATTACATACACATAGCTTAAATAGACACGTGTAGACACAAGCATACAGATTACGTAGGTGCATGCAAAGTCGCACGCAGACAGTGTATGTGTGATAGACAGAGAACCAACTCTTCTTTTATAATCTAGATTCAGTCAGTCAGTTATGTGCCATGCGTGATACATGCTTAGGTGATCATGTATCAGTTGATACATGACTAACGAGGCAGATTTTTTCCGCTGCAGTAGGTTGCCATTTCTTTCTGCAGTAGACCAGTCACTACCCAAGGCTATAGAACCTAGTCTGTCCTGCTATTTACCCATAGCTGGGGGGAGAAGAAGAGGATTCATACATTTCTCAGAGGTATTAGCACCTAAGTAAATGTAAATGGATTTGACTGGAATTCGAACTTGGCTCTCCGATTCCTCAATCCAAGCTGAAGATATTGTTATGATTTGATTTACAACACATGCCAACTGTCAAATCATAACCAGCCTACATACGGTTATTTCAAAATTACGAGGATAATAGAACCTGTTACACTGCTTAAAAATTTTTAGTAATTCATGAAGATGCTATTCTAAAAATGCCATGCGTGATACATGCTTAGGCGATCATGTATATTTCAATACATGACTGACGAGGCAGATTTTTTCCGCTGCAGTAGGTTGCCATTTCTTTCTGCAGTAGACCAGTCGCTATCCAAGGCTATAGAACCTGATCTGTCCTGCTATTTACCCATAGCTGGTGGGAGAAGAAGAGGATTCACACTTTTCCCAGCGATATTAGCATCTAAGTGAATGTAATGAATTCGACTGGAATTCGAACTCGGCTCTATTTAATCTATTGAGAGAAAATCTAGATTACCAAACTAAAATCAACATTGCATCGGAACCGGAAGTTTTTTTCACGAGGAACAATGGACACCTTGTCACCGTTTTAAGAAAGGCTTTACTTTATTTATTATTTTTTTTTTCGGGGGACCACGTTTAGAATAGTTATCAAGGTAAGTAAAATTATTAATTTATATGCGAGCACTTCAAATTCTCTACGTACAGGTCTATACTGGATTCTACTTGTTATTCAACGTGTTTGTTTATTATAGACATCTTTGTTGCCTCGAAGTCGAGAAAATATTTCTTATCACTCAACGCTTAGATGATCAAAAGAGCTTTTAAAATTATTGAACCAAATTTTTATTGTTTTTTAAAAAAACAAAATAAATTAATATTTAATTCTCTTTTTCCTTTCTAAGGTTAAAGGAAGAGGGGAGAATTAAAAAAAAAAACAAAAAAAAAACAATTTTTAAAAATTTAATATGGAAAAGATGAAATTAAATACCCCCCCCAAAAAAAAAAAAAAAATCCTCTTTATTTTAATCACAAAAATTAGAACTTTTCAGAAAAATAATTAAATTAAAATATTAATTTTAAAAAAAAATAATTAAATTAAAAATTACCTCCCCGGGGATCCAATATGGAATTTTGGTATATCGATATCATCAAGTTTTTTCTTTTTGTTTTTTTCAAGAAACTAAAAATAATTGTCTGTTTCCAAACAGTTAAATAAATTAAAAGATTATTAAACTGCATTTTTATAGCAAAAACCCCAATCAATAACAATATTTTACGTTTATTGATTCAGATATAAAAAAAAATGTAATTTAAAAAAATATTAGCAACAAACAAGTATTTTAAATTCTTAAATCACAAATAACTTTTTTTTTAACCAACTAACAAAGAAACAGGTTTCTTTCCTAAACCTAGTTAATTAAAAAACAAATGCTATTGTTAAATTTAGCGTTTCAAACGATTTCTACAAATTAAAATCACTGATTTTCTTCTTTTTGCATTCCCCTGGACTTAATTTGTAACCATCCTTCAAACTGAACACGAGGCATAAAAAAAAAAAAAATAATTAAATATTGGAATTTTATTTTAAGTTAAAAAAAAAGAGAAAAAATTCTTCTTAAAGTTAAAAAAAATATCTGCCAATGTAAAGAGTTTTTTACAGAAATAGAAATTTAAGATCTTTAAGTTAAAGATCTTAAATTACTGTTTAACTGTTTCTTATTCTGTTAAAAAAGTAAAACACTATTGAATTGATATTTTATTTATTTACAATTTTTTTTGAATTTTAAAAAGAATTTTTTTTCTCTTCATATGAAGATGGAAATAATTCTGAATTTGTACCATTTTTTTATTTGGTTTCGTATCAGTTTTTCGTTTTATTTCCTTTTTCGTGTCTCAAATGATTTGATAAACACAGAATCACCCCACCTCCAGTCTTCTTCAGATGAAGCTAATTAAAAAAACAAAAAAACAATTAGAATAAGTGAAGTAAATCATTTTTATTATTATAATTATAATTTGAATCTTTTTTAAAGTAAGTAAAATAAATCTAACTTTGTGTTATTTTCTATGTTTATTTTTTTTTTAAAAAAAAGAAAAAACAGTAAAAAAAAACAAACAAAAAAACACCATAAGTTCAGGAACCAAAGATGGGAAATAAGTCGCGTTTTGATGCCAATTTAAATGATAGCATTTTTTTAAAGTCTTTGATTCCACATAAAACTCCGTAAAAAGTTAAAAAAGTATTTATCATATTCGGTAAATTTGCAGATAATGTCCCAGTGACCAATTTTTTAAAAAATGCATTAGTCATTATTCTTGGTGTCAAAAAAAAACAAAACAAAAAAAACCTAATTATTACAGTGTAACCCGGATATAAGAGAAACCTGGATATAAGAGAGATTTTATCTGGTCCCAAAGTATTCCCATACTTACCTAAACAAAATAGACCAAACCCGGATATAAGAGACTTCTTCTCTGGTCCCGACAACTCTCTTATATCCGGGTTACACTGTACAATAATAGCAATAAAAATTGAGAAAACAGTTTAGGAGATATTGCCAATCTTAGTTGGTTCCCAGGTACAGCCTGGCTGCCTCAGTCAGGAATCTGTGAAGACTCTTGGTAGGGTGAGAGATTGACTTCAGGAATAGAAATTGAGCAACATATTGCTTCAACTGTGGTTGATCTGATGGTGCGTATAACCATAGTCTGGTAATCACATGTATGCCGACCAGCAGTTGTACTCAAGACCCAACTAAGATTGGTAATATCTTCTAAATGGTAGAGTTTCCTCAATTTTTATTGCTATTTTTGTAATAATCAGGCTTTTTTACACTAGGAATAATGCATTTTTTGTAAATTGGTCTCTCGGGTATTATCTGCAAATTTACATAATATTTATCATACTGTGGCACTAAAGTGTCTCTGATTGAAAGGAATGTGACATAGGATTAAAAAGGACTCATGTGAAAACTCCAGTTGGGCCCAGTGATTCGCCAGAAGAAGCCACATGACCTGTTTTCGAAGAGTATTGCTGACAGGGAGAATTGGATTCCCGACCGACATAGATCCTTATTGTAATGGCTAGCCTGCTCCAAGTTTAGAAACAGAAGAATCAACAATTATATAAAACCAATTAAAAATTAACCTAACGACTTCTTCATGATTTATTATAATTTGTATTTCCACCAGCAGGGGGGGGGTATCTTTGTCCTTTGGTTTTCGTAGCATGGTTCTGTCAACTCGATTCAGCGCTTAAAGTCTGGACAAAAGTTCGATTTTCACTACAGTGATCAATCAAGCACAACATGGGGCAAAGCAGATTGAAAAAACGAAGCTGTCAACATAACCATCCGTTGGCCGATGCCAGTACTGACCAGCATGGGGAATACCCCCGGATCAAGTAGGAGCAGTCGTGTTATCATGATTTGTTGGTCTATATATAAATTATTAAAAATTACCTTAATTTTTAATTTGCACATCTTTACCACATAGCTTCTAAATGATTTTTGGTTGCACCAGTGCTTGGATCAAGAACTTCGTACCTGTGTTTTACGGTCTCATGGTTAAAAACCAAAGTCTGCTAGTTAATTATAAGTGGGCCACATATCGGATCATATGTTGTGCCAGTTTCACCCACTGTTGCATGTTTGGAATAAGCGTTGCAATGTCATGTTGGATGGGGGTTAAAAGTATATAATTAGCGCCCCTAACTTAACATTGTATCCCTACCAAGAAATTAATTATGAACAAAAAATATTTTTTTCCATGCAATGTCTCTTCAAGACAGGGAATCATGGTCTTGCAAATGACCTGTTATTAACTAGGACAAGAAATAGTTTGGTTCCCTCTAAACGAAACTGTTTTTTATTAATCATTTCAAAGAATGTTTATTCCCTTCCATCAGCATGGCTGATGCTAACTTCCCAGGAGAGCAAATCTCTGCACCTTCTTAGTCTCTTAGGAAAGCCAGTTCATCATGTCATGCTAGACAATTTTTTTTGCCAGAAGCTATCTTGCATATTTATAAGTCAACCATTCTTCTGTACCCTGAATATGTAGCAAGTACTATTGACTTATGTGGTACCAGTAACACTCGTAGAGTGATCTGAAATTAATAATATGATAATATTAACTACTAATACTACTAATGTAATGAAAAGTGAAATTCAGATGGAAGAAGTCCTAGTCAAAAATGAATAATGCTTGACAATGCCTTATCTAATAATAATGAAATTCAAGATATAATTGTACTCATCCCTCCTGTCTTTAGTTCATATGACCATTACGCCCTGCCAATACCTCATAAATAATGGACTATTCCATTTGGATCACATGAAAAGAAGGGAAAAGACAATACTTGGATTCATTGAGAAAATGGAAAAAAAGAAAGAACGGAAGATAGAAGTGTTTAATGTCTGTTTCAGTGAAATAGAAAAAGTTGTCAATTTCAAATTTTTTTATTTGTACCCCCTTACTTGAAATAACAACCAGCATTCATATTTATGATTGTTATTGCAATATTTTCTTAAAGTTGTTAATCTCAAATATTTTAACGATGTGATCAGGGAATTTCTATGGATATTTTATTCTAGTAGAACTTGCCATGAGCTTAGTCACTTATAAACTTAAGAATTAAGATTCATCAGAAAATTCAAATAGGAAAACTGGGAAATTTTCACGGGTTAAAACATGTTACTACTAATACTGTTAATGTAATAAAAAGCAATTGAAATTAAAAAAAAATATGAGTAAAAAATTAATAACCTGTGTGTAATTGTGTTTGTGAAGAAAATTTTAATCTTTTTTAATTTATTTACTTTAATAGCGATGTCAAGTACTACTGAAAAGTGTCGTGAAATTCTGCTTCGACTTACAAAAGCAATTGAAAACATTGAAGTTTATAGTTACAAAAAACAAGATGACAATTCCATCAAGAAAACTTCCACACCCAACACCGTGCAGGACACGAAGGAACAGAAACCAGCACATATCAATGCAAATTCCTCAGCTTTATCCTCTTCGGCGTACAACCTTTTGTTCCAGGCGTTGCTGGAGCTTCGGACCAAATCTTATACCAAAAACCAGGCGATCAGAGCCAAACTGATCCAGTACAATATAATCAAAAAGATTTTCCACCTTCTGTGTGAAAAACCAGCTGGCCTTCAAACTGCTTATGAAAACTACCTCAAGTCGATTGGTAGAAAGAAGGGTGAAGAGCGGCAAGGTGATGGTAGACAAAATAATGGTGACAAAGAGGGAACAGTAAAAGAGGAAAGTAAAAATGAAGTTGAGTCTTTGGGAGGGGGAAGTGCCAAGAATAATGACAGTATGGAATGTTGTCTTCAGCCATTTGAATTAGACGAGCAAGAAACGGTTCCCTTTGCAGATTTTAGGGACCTTTTGCTAAGTCTTCTGGGAAATTTTTGCCTGGACTCTGCTGCTCGAATCCAGGTAAGACAAGACAGACTTATCATTTCTTTTTAAAGAAAAATCTATATATAATATTCTACATATAATAGCCCTCTTCTCTCATGACTGCTTGCCTTAATTCCTGACCACTGACAATCCCTTTCTTCCTGATTTTCAATGCATTCCTATAGTAAATCATTAGTAATGAATTTACATTCTACATATAATAGCCCTCTTCTCTCAGTACTGCTTGCATTAATTCCTGACCACTGACAATCCCTTTCTTCCTGATTTTCAATGCATTCCTATAGTAAATCATTAGTAATGAATTTACATTCTACATATAATAGCCCTCTTCTCTCAGTACTGCTTGCATTAATTCCTGACCACTGACAATCCCTTTCTTCCTGATTTTCAATGCATTCCTATAGTAAATCATTAGTAATGAATTTATATTCTACATATAATAGCCCTCTTCTCTCAGTACTGCTTGCCTTAATTCCTGACCACTGACAATCCCTTTCTTCCTGATTTTCAATGCATTCCTATAGTAAATCATTAGTAATGAATTTACATTCTACATATAATAGCCCTCTTCTCTCAGTACTGCTTACATTAATTCCTGACCACTGACAATCCCTTTCTTCCTGATTTTGAATGCATTCCTATAGTAAATCATTTGTAATGAATTTACATTCTACATTTAATAGCCCTTTTCTGAATTACAGCCATATCACGTTGAAACACCAGTTCTCGTCCGATCATCAGAGTTAAGCAATATCAAACCTGGTCATTACCTAGATGGATGACCGCTTGGTAATACCAAGTACTGTAAGCTTTGATATGTGGTGGTTATAATGGATAATGGCTCACAATGAGAAGTTGGAGAACTAAGCTCAAATTTCAGTCAGGTTCAAGATATTCACGTACACGCAAATACCCTTGGGGAAATGCATGAATCTATCTGTTCTCCACTCCCACCCTCCACCCTCATTATGAGTTAAATAGTCTGGCTTGTAACAGGAAATTATTATTATCTCTGATAGATTATTACTGTCTAAAAATATTTTCTGGCATTAAATAACCTGCAAAAGGTTGATAAGCCGTAAAAAAAAAAAAATAAAGAAATAAAGAAATCAATAAAATTTTGGTGATGTATATTTTTAGCAATAAACGTGTGTGTATACTGTATGTATTTTCATTTTGCTTATAATTACTGAACCAATGTTTCAATGTGATATGGACATAAGCCCTTATGATTTAACCTTTATAACTCAACATATGATTTCATTTGCTGTACTAAAAGTTTATCCTGACACCGAAGGTGACTGTTCCCCGAAGAATAGTGTTTTTGAATTTCATAGTTGTGTTGTCATATCCTACTAAGGCAACAGAAAACAACTTTGAGTGAAATTAACAATAAGGATATTGAAATAAAGATGCCTTGAAACAGAATGCAGTAGAAAGGGAAGTAATATTAATAATGCAGAGTGCTAAAGGTTAATTTCTTCTTATCAATAGATAAAATTATAAAATTGTTTCAGTAGAAAGATTTTATATATTTCAAACAAAAGTGGCATTGGCTGTTTACTCAATGCTGAACATTTCCTTATAAAAAAAAACAGTTAACCTTTATCACTCTCTATGTGACTTCATATGTTGTACAAAAAGTTTATCTTGCCACTGAAGGTGACTCTGATTCCTGAAGAATAGTGTTTTTGAATTTCCTAGTTGTGTTGTCATATCCTGTTATGGCAACAGAAAACATGTTGTAATAGAGAGGCCTTGAAAAAGAATGCAGTGGAAAGGGAAGTAATATTAATAATGCAGAGTGCTGAAGATTGAGTAAGACAACCGAGAACAAAGAAATATCTCGACTATTTCCAAATGGTTCAAATCTTTTGATCTACGTTCATTGTTTTTGTTGTGCAATGCTCTGATTGGTTTATGAAGTTACGATGAGTTTTAATTCTTTTTCAGGTCATCAAACATCGAGGAATTACCATACTTCGTAAGTAAAAATTTCCTTTTAAAAAAAGCGGACTTCTTTGATTAATATATTTATGTCGTATTTTAAACTCTTTTTTTTTTTTTTTTTTTTTTTTACAAATCTTTACTCCAAAGATTCTTTCATGTACCTGTCTATGTGTAATGCAACTTTTAAAAAATCATTTTTAATTATCATCTTCTTTTCTTCATCATTTAGATCTTGATCATCTACATCATATTATTTGGCTCAAGAATATGCTGACTGTATCACTGTACAGTGGGCAAGACTCACACCATCACAAAAGTATGAGTCACTTTAATGTACCTGTGTCTAGCTTTTTGACTCATATGCAAATCAAGCCCTGTTTCGACCTTTTTGACTCTTACACAAACCATACCCTGTGTCTACTTTTTTGACCCTCATGCAAACCAAACCTGCATTTGTCTTTTTGACACCTGTGCAAACCAAACCTGAATCTACAAATGTATGTGTTTTATCAAAATGACAGAATTTGGCATTAATTAACCTGGAAAAGGTTGATATGCCGTAAAACAAACCAAAACATATCCTCATCATCATATTGTAATTATATCTTATGAGGTTATTACTCAAAATCTGGAGTTAAGATAAGGTACTAAATATATTCATTCTGTTTGCACAAATTCTGATGTTGGGAGATACTTAACATGTACAGTTTTTTTTTTATTTTCTTTACGTTAATAATACTCTCCTGAGCAGAGGAGCAGCTCAGCACTGTGCAATTGTTATCCCCTTGTAAATATGGGCTTTTATGGATTCTGTTAATGTTCACATCTGTACCTTTTTTGGATCATACCCAATACTTTACTTATTATAGGTATTACAACAATAATTGTTATTATTGAAAAAATATAATTACCAAAACTTTAATCGTTTGTTTCAGATGTTATAATAGCAGATACATGTATTGAGGTTCAGGCATTGTTTAACCTTTGACCCTGCCAAAAAAAAGGCATGTTAAAGGGATGGTTATTTCCTTGAAACTGCTATTACACTGTTTTTTCTTTGTTTTTTTTTTTTTTTTGCTATTTTACTCCCTCAGCAATATTTATTGCTTTAAAAAGCCATGATTCGAATTTTAATAAAACCCAAACATATGAAAGTGGATTTAGACATTTTCGTTATTTTTGAGAATGACAACAAAGATGTTAAACGCTATTTATTTATTAGATTTGCTTATTTACAAGAATAACTTTTATATCTACAAAATTATAAAAATCTGTGAGCCAACTACAATGAAATTATTTATTATTTACCATTTTATGAAGAAATAAATATGGAAAGAAATTTTTTTTTTTTTTATTCATGAATTTATAAAAATATCAGTGAACAAGAAAATTGAAATAAATGCATAACAAATAACTTTAATTACAGATTTTGAAAAAATGCATTTTCTTTTTTTTTTTTTAACATTTCGTCTTGCCACATAAATTCACTAAAATAAATTGAGAACATCTCTTTCTCTGTACCAAACATTCTTTTAATTTTAGATTTTAGGTGAGGCTACAAACATTCAATATTTTGAGTGTGTATCTCCCTATTCATTGGTTGGACAAAGTTTTTCTTGTGTTTGATTACAGAATGTCTATAATTTTTACCATAAATATGACATTGACATTGGTTTATGTAGTTTGATAATGGCTAATAGATTAGATGAAAATACTCTCATCCCCAAATCATTTGGACAGTTTTTATGCACACTAAGTTCTTCATTTGTATGAATGCAAGAAAAATTTAATGAAAAGCTTAATTGTAGTGTTTTGTCAGTGGTTTGGTTTGGTTTATTTTATTTTACGGCATATCAACCTCAATGGGTTATTTAATGCCAACAATATTTTTAGGATAGATTCGTATGAATAGAATATGTATTCTTTGGTTTAGATTGGTTTGGTTTATTTTGTTTTATGTGGCATATCAACCTCAATGGGTTATTTAATGCCCGACAACATTTTTAGAATAGATTTGTATGAATAGAATATGTATTCTTTGGTTTAGATTGGTTTGGTTTATTTTGTTTTATGGCATATCAACCTCAATGGGTTATTTAATGCCGACAACATTTTTAGAATAGATTTGTATGAATAGAATATGTATTCTTTGGTTTAGATTGGTTTGGTTTATTTTGTTTTATGGCATATCAACCTCAATGGGTTATTTAATGCTGACAACATTTTTTAGAATAGATTCGTATGAATAGAATATGTATTCTTTGGTTTAGATTGGTTTGGTTTATTTTTTGTTTTATGGCATATCAACCTCAATGGGTTATTTAATGCCGACAACATTTTAGAATAGATTCGTATGAATAGAATATGTATTCTTTGGTTTAGATTGGTTTGGTTTATTTTGTTTTATGGCATATCAACCTCAATGGGTTATTTAATGCCGACAACATTTTTAGAATAGATTCGTATGAATAGAATATGTATTCTTTGGTTTAGATTGGTTTGGTTTATTTTGTTTTATGGCATATCAACCTCAATGGGTTATTTAATGCTGACAAAAATTTTTTATTGCTGGTAATATTTTGTTTTGTCAAAAATCTGTTTCTGGTAATATATTTCCTTCAAAATTGTATTGCTGGTAATAATTTTTTTCAAAAAAGTATTGCTGGTAATAGTTAACTATTTGCCCATAGCTGGGACCCTAACAGGTCCTACCACCCCAGGTCAGGGTGGACCTGGGAACACCAGCAATTAAGAGGTGGTTCCATGCTCCTCAAAACCTCCTGATGAGAGGCCTTGCTGCTGGACGTAGTTTAACGTCTTACCCAGGATGCAGATGTAGTTTAACATCTTACTCAGGACGAGTTTTGTCAGTGGTCTTCAATGAAACGTCATATATATATATATATATATATATATATATAAAACAGAGGATGTCTCTCTGTATGATACCTTTTCAGTTGAGATACATCCAATCAATTTTGACTAAACTGTGCACATACATTGTACAATGTAAGAGATAGGTTCTTAGTGTAAAAGAAAAATTGATAATTTAAAAAAAAAATCAATAATTGATAAAGACAATCAAAAATCAATAAATTCAACTTCTGTTCAAACTTGGTATGTAGGTTACTTACATCACGACAAGCTCAATGGTACCTCATTTTTATTTCTATGCTACTGCATTTAGTGAAAAAATGCAAAAAACGATAAATCAATTTCAACACAAATTTTAAAGTAAAATCTCTCTTAATTTTCAAGCAATCTAATACAAACTTCACTCAATTGTAGCCAACAACAAGTTGATTGTTTAGCAGTCATTTAACTTGATAATTAAGTCCACTCATATTGTGAAAACCCATGTTAATAGTTATACTGTTTTTTTCTTCTTTTTCATTGATCTTTCAACTAATTTTCATCAAACTTAACAATTGCTTTATAAATGTATCCTCTTTTACATCCCTGACAAATCGAATTTCAAAAACTCCAAAATAATTGTGGTCTGAAGTGAGTCTTCTTGTTGCTTGTTTTAAACTTTCATGTCCTCGGCTAACTTTGACTGAATAAATACAGACTACTTCTGTTATATCAGTAACTGCATTAATTCAAAATGTTTTTTAATGAAAGTACTTTAAAGTAATTGAAGAAGATAGACACTATTACATCTAAACATGATGCAGTTTTTGCTCCATTTTTATTGAATGTTTTTTTTGATTGACTAGCTGAGTATGGCTGCCAGTATATATATATATATATATATATATAATATAATTGTGTATTTGGACAGTAACCCCTCTTTTATACAAGTTTCATTAAAATCAACTGACAAGGTACTGTGATTAAATTTTTTACTTTCCTTGTTGGCTGCTGGATTATGTAATTTAATAATTTTCCAACAGGGAAAGTAAAAAAAAAAAACAAACTTAGCTGCAGTACCTTATCAGTTGCTTTAAATGAAACTTGTAGAAAAGAGGGATTGCTGCCCAAATACACTATTATTAAATTACATAACCCAGCATCTAACAAGGAATGTAAAAAAAAATCTAACTGTAGTACCTTGTTAAACATTTTTTAATCAAACTTATATATATGCTTTGTACCAGATAAATCTCAGCTCAGAAAATTCTTACATAAATTATTTTTATTTTATTTTATTTGTTTCCTAAGGTACAATTCTCTTTGAGGCAGAATCTGAGAGTATCTGGCGCCGATGTTGTCGCACTCTGGCAAACCTTGCTGTGGACCCTGCCTGTCGGAAAGCCATTCAAGCCACAGATATTACAGCAAAAATAATTTGTATTTTGGAAAGTTCTTGTGATTCTGAATGCAAATCCACAATATGTCGAACTCTTAGGTAAGTTGAAAATGGAACCTTCCTTCAAAAAAAAAAAATTGAACATCATTTCATAAAATATTTAGACTCTCATTCTTAATAGCTGATATATCCTTCAACCTTCATTTGGTGGATAATAAAGGAAGAAGGTGTTATACCATAATACCTATTTTATTGTAATAGACTCTCCCACAGATAAGTAGTAGTAGCAGTGGCCAGTTGGGCTCAGTAGTGTTGAGTGAGTCAGTCAATATCGGACATTGAAGTATCAACCATCACAACTAGATTGCTGTGTCATTAACTCTTATTTCAAGTTCCTAAAATTTTGTATGTTGAACCTAATTTAGGACGACTTGATGAAGTGCAGGCCTCCACTGTGAAAACTACTCTACAACAGAAGGGGGGCGGCTACTACTATAGGTATCTCTGTTGGATTGTTATTTTGTAACGGCTCCCTACCTCAAAGAGCTCCCGAACATATAAATACAAAGTACTAAAGGGAGATGAAAAGAAGAGTCCCGAAATATATTTACCATTTTTAGTAACTGTAATAAACATTGTACTTAGACTAGCTTATAGTTGTACTCTAAAAGATTACTACCTTTTAAGTTAAGATGAGGTTGCCAGTTATCATCTAGGGATATTTTTTGTTCCTCATTGGTATGAATATTGACATTGGTCACAGCATGTCTATTTCAACCAAGTTCAGACTAATTCTCTGTGCCAAGGGAACTAACTCACAAAGTTATCTGCTTGCTAGCCGATTCTGTTTAAAACTAACACATTGAATATCACTTGCCTGAAAACTAACTTCACCAAAAGTGTTAAATTGAATTTTCACTATGTCAAATATTTCCCTTCAGTGAGAAATCAAAAGATGGAAAATTAAAGGGAGATAACTGTTGTTATTTTATTTTATTTTTTATTTTTTTATCATTTCACCTCAAGCAAGGCTGGAATGTCACTAGTACACAGGGGTGGGAAACAGAGAGGGAAAGTGAGAGAAAAGGAGGCTGGGTATGGAGGGTGTTGAGGAAAGGATAAAAGATGAACGGGTTTTGAAATGACAGAAGACGGCATTATACTTTCTTTGATGAAGAGATCTTCAATATATGAACATGTGCCCAGAATGGTTTCGATAGCTTTTTGCTTTGAATGGTTTCACTCTGGAACAGCACAGCATTAAAAGTTCATCTCATTATTAATAATGACACATTGATTTCAAAACAGGAGGCCATCATAACAGCTGTTGGGTTGTTATTTTGTAACAGCTTCCTATCTCAATGATATAATGAAATGTGCATACACCTGTGTTCCCCCTCACTGGAATATAATTGGCTGGTGTCCGTCATAAATACAGACGGACGTGTAGGTACGACAAAGTCTATGATGATACCCATTGGACTACACCATTGGCTATCCTATTGGTCTACACCTATTACCTGCGACTACGACGAATATATCCCTTTCCAGGACATATCACTCAAGGAGCTCTGAAACATATAAATATGAGGTACTAAAGGTAGATGAAAAGAGAGCCGAAACATGTTTACCATTTTTATTAACTGTAACAATGTAAAACAACAATAAAACACAACATAAACATTCTATGGACAATAATGGGTATGTCCCCATTCGCATAACTACAGTAGTAAATATTGTATGTTGTTCTGCAGTTGGAGATTTGTTTCCAGCTGTGCTGGTCAAACTCTCTGCCCAAAGGCAGAGAGGATCCCCAGATGAGTATATGTTGAAGGTCAGAATTTTGTCTCGGGGGAAACAGTTACCTGACGTCGTTTTATACATGGTCTACAGGGAATTTTTGGCTGAGCCTACTAGCTTGGATAACCCACATTAAATTCAGCTTTGTGCCACATCTGTCTGCATGGGGTGGTTTGTAGATATCCTGCAGTTGGAGATTCATTGTGGAATTCACTTGACTCACTTCTAGCAGTTGACTACTACTTCTATACACCGCTGACGAATCTTATATGTATTGTCCTTATCCTAAGTATTATCGTTCATTACTAACCTTCGTTCAATTATTCTATCCAGTAACTATCCCTAGGTTACAACATACTTACAATAGGTGATATTTGTAGTCTAAAAGATTACTACTTTTAAGTTAGGGTGACATCATGGGTTACCATCTAGGAATATCTTTTGTTCCCCATTGGGTTCAGTTTGGATGTTGGTCACAGCATGTCTTGTTCCAACTCCTTTTCAGGTCCGGGCTAATTCTCACACTGTATCAAGTGTACTAATTCACCTCTGCTGTTTGCTTACTAGGTGATGGGTTCTATCTAAAGCCCTTTATCTCTCTAAATATTGGAATCCTGTTTTAATTTTTTTTATTTTGTTGATGGATGACTGGAAATGATTATCCCTGCTGGCGGGAATGTCTGCCTTTTCAGAACTACATTCCTTATTTCCACTAGTTCTAACCCCCACAGCTAAGACCTGCTATGCCATGCACATTGTAGTGAACCACCCTCATTCCATTTGTATTCCATTGGTGAGGTGTATTTTCCACTTGAGCAGCTTCTTCCCACAAACCTCTACTTTGTGGAATTGACTCCCAAGAGGATGCTTCCCTGCTCGCTACAATCTTAACTTGTTCAACTCTAGGGCTAACTGTCATCTTCCCCACATATCTGCATAAACTGCCCATTACTCTGTAACCTTCTATCTTAAGTATCTCTTGGCTCTTGTACAGATTGAGTACCATTGTTAAAAAAAAAAACAGATTTTTGTTACTGCATGTTGATTATCTCCCTTGATGTGGAGTTGTGTCCCTTTGATAGCAAGCACAGAAAGAAAACCACGAGAACTCTAACAGAATGTAGTGAAGAAAAGTGTGAAGAAAGGACTAAATATCCCTTGTAAGAAGACCTTGTATGGCTATTAGCAAAAGGAACATGCAAATTACAAATTAGAGATACCAAAATCAATCAAAGTACAACAATTGAAATATCTGGGAAGTGTTTGAACAGAGGACTGAAAGTGCAACAGAGAAATCCAAAGATACATTGGGATAGTGGAAGATGTCTTCCAAAAGCCAAGCAAAGTTGGAAGAAACAGGAAATTTCATTAAAAATAAAGAAAAGAGTACTGAACTATTGCGTAATATCGATCCTTCGATATGGCAGTGAATGCTGGATGATCTCATCACAAATGAAGAAGAGATTTGAAGCAACAGAAATGTGGCTCTACAGAAGGATGCTGAGAATACCATGGACTGAACATGAACATCAATGAAGTTTTAGAGAAAATGGAAGCAAAAAGAACACATAACATCAGAAAGAGGGTTGAAATTTCTAAGGCACATAATGAAGATAGAGGGTTTGGAGAATTAAACACTCAGAGCACATTGAAGGCAAAAGGAACAGTGGAAAATAGCACATAACATACCTGACTAGCTTGTGTAAATGGATGGCAGAACAGGGTTTAGGAGAGATAGCAAAAACACAAAATTTATTAAGATCTACAAAGGACAGGAAGTTGTGGAGAGCACTATAATCAACAACGTCCTGAAGACACATTGCTTAGATAGTTAAATTTCTGTACTTGTTTCTTTCTTTTTTTTTTTTTTAACCTCCATCTTGGGTGGTACCTTTTTATCACCCACCTCATGCATTCTGCCCTGTTGGTTCTGATCGTGTATGGGAATAATTATTTATTGTTAACAGTTTAACATTTTTGGCATAAGGTCAAAGGAGAAGTGGGGTGAGGCTGGTCTACCATAACTATCCTAAACTCAGCTAATCTGATTCATGACCCATTTATTCATTACAATTTGCTCATTCACCACAAAAATTCATCCATCACCATTCAATCCAACATATCTACTATCTATATTTCTCATGTTGTCTGTCTGTGTGTCTGTCGTGGGCGTTGTTACCTCACCCAGGCTGCATTTCTCACCCGATTTCGATGTGGTTTTCACCACAAGTTTGCAAATGGCTGCCTTAAGGACATGACAGAGCCCGATTTTTCAGTTTGGACTCAGGCTCCGAAAAAATCGATAATCGAAAAAATCTGCTTACAGAAGGAATTATTGCATTTTAACCAAATTTGACACCCTCTTAGAGTCTACCTTTAGAAGTGTTGTCCAGAAGTTTCATGACCACGGACCCCTAAACAGTGCAGAAAATCGATAAAACCCCAAATCTGATACGCCCAGATTGCACCTGAACCGCATGTCGGTTTTTAGCGAAAACCGATCGGATTTATGAGGAGGCCATTGTGAGTCACCATGTGAAGTTTCAACTCTGAGCGCCCCCCAAACAGAGTGCAAATGGACAATCGGTCAACCCTTAAAAATGTTTTTCCGGTTGGGTATTTCCTAAATGCAGATTAATTTAAGGTCATGCTATGTGCAGGAAGAAACAGGTTAGTGTGTGCAGTGCTGTATGAGTTGTACGATTTTTGAATCAAGCACGGGCAACGCTTCTAGTATCACATATTCACAAAAAATTCATTCTAAAACAAACCCTGTATAGGAATGACTGCAAAACAATTCTCCCTTCCCAATTTATAAACAAAACTGCACATGCTGAAATTTCTTCCTAACCAACAAGATAGGCCACTTGTTGGTGTCATTTAATTCAGTCCCAATCTGTCTTGCTTTGAAGTCAGAATGCTTTGTTTGTTTATCTTAATTTGCTCTTGTCTGTCAATCCTAATTCTTAGTTTGTGAATTCTGATCAGGAGGTTTTGGGGAACATGGAACCACCTCTTAATTGCTAGTGTTCCCAGGTCAACCCTGACCTGGGGTGGTAGCACCTGTTAGGGTCCCAGCTATGGGCAAATAGTTAACCTCCAAACTGCGGTCAAAACACTATGAAAGTGTAAAAATAGGTTTTAATACCAGAACTACTTTGTAAAAAAAATTATTACCAGCAATACATTTTGGAAAAAAAAATGTTACCAACAATAAAAATCTTCTTGGTATTAAATAACCCATTGAGGTTGATATGCTGTAAAACAAACCAAACCAGTTAAAAAAAAAAAAAAAAAAACATTTTAAAAATTGGCTCTTTCTCATATGATGTCCACTCTCATACCTGTCTAACAGCTTGTATATATTTATAATGGTTTTTTTGTTTACAGTAGTGAAAGATTACGATAACCGTTAATGCTGTTTATTTATATAAAGGAGAATATGCATTTGGCATTTGCTGTATGTGTCTGTGTGTGTAAATATATATATTTATACATTTTCTGTCTGTCCTTATGTTCAAAACTGAGTTGTTCATTTTGTATGAGGTTTCTCTGTCTTTGTTCGTATCTAAAAGTTTTCCTGAATTCCTGTCCAATTTTTTGCCCTGTCAATGTCTGTTGAGTTGCCAAAGTTACTTTATTCTTTCTGTTTGCAGACTTTTTGCTGAATCCAGCCAACTTCTCAAGACCATCATTGACTGCAATGGCATCACTATCTTGATACAGATCTGCAGATATGGAACGCACAGTGTGAAAGGCGCTGCAGTAAAAACTTTGGCTGAATTAGGAAAGAAAAAGTAAGAAGCTTTCCTTTTTTTTTTTTTTAAATTTTTCTTCTTTTAAAAAAAATCTTACTTTTTTCTTTTTTTTTTTTTTCCAATTCCTCAAAGTTTTTTATGTTTGATGTTCTAGCTTTTAATTTTTTTTTTCTTTTAGGATTTTTCTCTCTCTCCTCTTGTGCCGGTCAATTTTTCTCTCTCTCCTCTTGTGCCGGTCGATTTTTCTCTCTCTCCTCTTGTGCCGGTCGATTTTTCTCTCTCTCCTCCTCTGTCGGTCGATTTTTCTCTCTCCCTCCTCTGTCGGTCGATTTTTCTCTCTCTCCTCCTCTGTCGGTCGATTTTTCTCTCTCTTGTCCTCTTGTGATGATTTGTGTTTGTGGTTTCTTTTTTTTTTTTTTTTTTTTGATTCTTTCCTGTTTCTTTTTTTTAATTTTTAATTAAACTAAAGCTTGCAGAAATAATTGACCTTGGATACATAAAGCCTACACAGGAAGTAGGAAGTAAACATGCAATAAGACGCTCACCCAACTTTTCGCCAGTGTCGAGGCCATATTGTGTCCCTATACTTGTTTGTGCATCAAAAGCTGGGAAAAGCCCGCTGCAGGTTTACAAAAGAATAAAAAGATATAAATGAATGCTGTAATGAGGTGTTTTATTCAATGTTTCATTTGCTTGGTCTGGGTGGTGACAGCTTCTGCTCTGTAAGAACGAATAAATGAATTAAGACTTTTGAGTTCAAGTGACAACAAAGACGGACATTGAGGATTTCCAGTTGCTGGTCTATATTATCAGAACTAGTTCTGATGACCAGCAACTGGTGTAGCCATGCCATGAGTGTTGTCTGGCTACTTGAACTTGGCAAAAGTCTTAATTCATTTATTTGCTTTTCTTGCTCAAGTGAGCATTACTTAGAAGACCAAACTTCAAAAGACATTCTGCCAGCCATAAAACAAAAGCACTTGAGATTGAGTTAAAATCTCACACCCTCCCTCTTGTAGTGTAATAAATGAGAGCATTTTTATTAAATTATTGTTATTATTAGGGTGAGTCAAAAAGTAACACAATTTGTTTTATTATATAAGAAATAAGGAAAACAAGCATATCATACATCAAGATATAGCTATACATCACAAATTCATATCCTTACTTTCATAGTTTAAGTCCTGAATATTATAAACTTTTCATATGTCTCACACTGTCCTAGGTATGATGATAAACTAGATCTGTGTCCTGGGTAAGAGGATAAACTACGTTTGACAGCAAGGTCTCTGATCAGGAGGTTTTGAGGAGCGTGGAACCACCTCTTAATTGCTAGTGTTCCCAGGCCCAACCTGTTAAGGTCCTGGCTATGGGCAAATAGTTAACCCCTGAACTGGGGTCAAAACACTATGAAAGTGTAAAAATAGGTTTTAATACCAGAAATACTTTGTAAAAATTAGTATTACCAGCTATACATTTTTGAAAAAAAAAAAATTACCAACAATAATGTAACGATATTTTATTAATGTATTGAATCCCGACACTCCAAATTTTAATATTCAACGAAAAACCGAGTAGAAGGATTCCTACAAGACAACTGTCCAAAGCTCCGAATAAAACTCACGGTGTAGGGAGCCAGGTCATTTATTATAGAATTGTTCAGGAAAAGGGGGAGAGTCTATTGTGCAAGTCTTGGCTCCTGGCGAAACGTGAATTCAGTGCTACTCAATAGATATGTACATGTACAGGAAGAGAGATGTTGCGCTAATGGATTCTGGGTGTTCTCGGACTATCATCAGCAGAAAGATGTGCCGTATATGGAAAAAGAAGAATGTTGAAGTAATGACTCTTGGTGGAGAAACGTGCATCAGTGGCGTCAAGCAGATAGATCTTCGGGTGGACGGAGGAACTGCAGAAATAGAGGCTTTTGTAGCACAAGAGGACCCTCTTGGATTTGACGTAATTATCACTGTGTATGCAATCAAAGCCTTGGATGGGGTTTCCATTTCAAAATCAGGAGTGGTGCACTTCCTCTGCAAGCAAGCTTCTGCATGTGCAATAGTACTACTCTCTTTTGAAGAGCCTGATTTTCATGCAGAATTCTATCAGTGACAAAATGAGTAGCCCTCATCATGGAAATGGACAAATGCCAAAGAATCCTGCAAGCTGCAAGACTGCATTGCAAAGTACACCATGTCGAGGAAAGTTAGGAAATTCTATGAAAAAGAATTGCATCAATGGGTCAAGAAAGGCTGGTTTATTCCCTATGACAAACAATAGTTTGGAACCCCCGAAAGAACTTCTTCTGTTGAGGGTCATTGTGCAACATAACAAATCAAAGGTGTGGCCCATAATGGCTTACTGGGAACTTAACCTCCATGTTGACTTGACATGTATACAGTAGATGTTAATATTATCACCAGCAAACTAAGAAAGTGGAGACAGCAAGGGTCAAACATTGTACTACTGGACCTCAAACCTGCCTACCTACAAGTGCGTGCTAATGAACAACTTTGGCTGTACCAGACACTTATTTTCCAATTTCTTTGCAAAAAGAAGGATTATGGACAGTACAAGGAATACGTTTGAACGAGCCAGCTGTGAGATTCAAGGACAAAGACATGGCAGTGAGGAATATGAAACGAATTACAACAGATATGTTACAAATATATTATTACTATTATTCTTCTAGACATAAAGTGAGGGATCGATTTTCTATTGTTATTAAGTAATAAACTGACCTCCCCCCCCAGTTAATTCCTACATATTAATGAAATAATTTTTTTTTAATTTCTCATCAAGCAAGTGGATAAAGCTACTGATTGTTAGAAAATAAAAGAAAATTATTAAGGAGAGAGAGAACAATAAAAGGACAGTAATTAAGAAGACAAGATAATGATTTAAATTTTTGAAGATCAAAAAAGATTATTGAGAAGCAAGAAGCAGGAAAAGAATTCCATTCTATTTAAAGACTCGTCTGCAAAAACCAAAGAATAGTAAGGATCAAAAAAAATACTAATTTCATATCTGGGAAGGTATTGTTGTTGTTGATCCAGTAGTAGGTTGATGATGATGAATTTTAAATTTGATGATGAATTTTTTTTTGTAACACACTGACATGTGTTGAAATCCTCATAGTATTTAGTATTGTTGAAGTTATTGCTAACATTTTTTTTGTCAAGATTTACAAACTCTACGTTTCCTTCAATTTTGCAAACCAATCGATGAAATTTGAATAAGCTGATTTGTTTGGAAAAATACTTTGACAAAAACCCTACTCAGCGATTTAATAATTTCTTTAATTTTATAGGACTTCATGGTAAACAATATTTTTTAAGAAAATTTCTTTTTTTCTTTTTTAACAGCAAAGAATAAATTCTTAGGATTTCTTACTCTTGAGCGTGCAACATACAACTGGCCATGCATAAATATTTCTTTCTGGAGCCAAATTCCAACTTTTTGAAGCGTTTGGCCTTGTGATTTGTTTCTAATTCTCACAAATGCAGGACAAACTGGAAACTGGATTCTTGTGTATATAAAAGCTTAAAGGAAAGATATGCAAATAACAGTATTGCATTTTTATTAACTAAGTATTTGTTATTTTAATAGTTAAATTGTTCTTAAAATAGTGCAGATATTTTGTCTGCTAAATAATAAAACTTAATTTTCCCCCTCAAACTTAATTAAAATTATTGTACTAAGCTACGCACACTAGTAAGACCAACTGTACTTTTGTCATATAGGAAGAAAATAAGTAACTACTGACACTGAGGTTTGATCATGACACTCTAGACATGAATATTCTGCCAGGTCTATAAATAGTGGTGTCAGGCTACTGACTGCAGTGATTATTGAGTGGCTATTGAATGGAACTATCAAGTTGAATTAGTGTGAATTATTGTACGTCAATGATTTGGGCTTTGATTTAGGATTTACTGCATGTTCTGAGCTGTGCTACTAACACAGTATTCACTGAAATGGTTAATTATCTTTGGTTGACTTTTACTTCTTTGTTCTTGTTAAGTATTTATTTGTGGTTGTAATTAAATACTGTTTTATCTTAGCATTGAAGTCTTGAGTTATACTTAATTATTAATGGCCACCATACGTCACAAAAACTTTGTACCTCCTTACCTGTTTGTACTTCTCCCCAAAATTTGGTTCTAATCAATGTCTGGCTATTTTAGTGGGTGTGATAGATGGACAGGCAGACAGACAGACTAATGTCACAGAATTTTATATATAGATTTTTCATTTTTTTAATTTATTTTTGGTGTATGGTAATTTAAAATTTGAAACAGAATAAACACTTATCTTATTTATTTTATTTTCCAGCTGTTCTGTTGAATTTGGACAACAAGTTCTCCGAGGAGAGGGTCTTGTAAAGTTGGTGGAGATGACCAAAGAAGATGCTGTTTACTCGGAACATGCTCTCTGCATTCTTATCTATCTCAGCCACCATAGTTTCATCCGACCGTTAATGGGAAGTTCTGATGTCATTCAGACCCTCCAGTCGAAATTTGAATCGGAAATTCCGGCACACCTCTGCTCGGAGATTTTGAATGCTTTCTGCCTTTTCTCTAATGAGGCTATCAACAGAGTGAAGTTGAGACAATTTGGAATTCTCAAGATTCTCCTCAACGCCCTTCAGGACCAGCGCTATGCCCTGCTACACAATCGGATCATCAGCGCATTTGTTAACTTTTTGTATGATGATAGCAGCTTTGATTTGCTCCTTGAGAATGGCCTTGTGCCTGTGCTCTTTGTCCATCTCCAGCGCTGTGCTGGTTTCTCCTTTACAATACCAAACACGGAACCATTTGTGGAATCTTTAATTGAAGCAGTCATGAATCGTAATGACGAGAGTGGGAATTCTAATATCCATGAACCTGCATGTAGTAACACTCAGGAAAAGTGTACAAAGCATGCCACAACTGGTAGTTCAAGCACTGGCAAAGAGTCAAGCTCTAAGGAAAAGTGTACAAAGCATGCCACAACTGGTAGTTCAAGCACTGGCAAAGAGTCAAGCTCTAAGGAAAAGTGTACAAAGCATGCCACAACTGGTAGTTCAAGCACTGGCAAAGAGTCAAGCTCTGAGGAAAAGTGTACAAAGCATGCCACAACTGGTAGTTCAAGCACTGGCAAAGAGTCAAGCTCTGAGGAAAAGTGTACAAAGCATGCCACAACTGGTAGTTCAAGCACTGGCAAAGAGTCAAGCTCTGAGGAAAAGTGTACAAAGCATGCCACAACTGGTAGTTCAAGCACTAGCAAAGAGTCAAGCCTTGAAGGAAACCCTGAACCAAAGTTAGTTAACAAGGGCCAAAGCACTGATAGTGAAAGGATCTTGAGCAACAGCCTGGTGTTAATTTCAAATAACAATGCAGATGCCAGCAAACATGACCCAAAAGTAGAAGAGAAGCTATCATCCTTACCCACTTATAAGCAATGCCTTTCAGCAAGCGATAATCCTCCAGACAAAGATCAGGAGACACCTCCAGCAAGACAAGCGAAAAACTGCCAAACTGCTCAAGCCCAAAGGACCTGCTTGCCTGATTCTGCCTGTGTAAATGGACAACTGCAGGTGCCAGGCACCAGGGGTCGAATTCCAAAGAGAAAGCATAAGACAGAAGTCTTTTCTGAACCATCTAAACGATATCGTTTGTCATTAGGTGTCAAAGCCGATCCACAGAAGGAACCCGCTATCTTGAGTTTTAAGATCCCAGATACTCACAACCTGAGCCCGTTAGTTGCCGAGACAGTTGCAGACATGGTAGATATGTCGCCCTCGACAGTGTTGTCGCATGTTGGCAAATGCTCTGAACACTTGGAGCAGCATGCCACAGAGATCATAGCTTTCCATGGCAGTTCTCTCTTGGAGCCATCTCAATCGCAGACCATGGATATGGAAAGCAACCGTGCAGATATATTTGTGACTTTAAGGAGCAAGTGTAGTGTGGGTCGGATAGAAGAGATTTTAAAAATGAAAGGGTTTTGTATAAGAACTGAATCAGAGACATGCGACTCGGATCAGGAAGTTGATAGCGATGATGAGGATGATAAAGTTTTGGAGAAACAGCAAAGAAATTTTTATTGCATCGACAGTCCTTCCTATCAAAATGAGATCACATGGCAACCAGAGGATTATGCTACAGATGCAACATTAAAATCTTCCTCTCTCACCGGTGGTCAGTATTTAAGTCCACTTAGCAATGCCTCTTACCATTCTCCTGACTGGAGTCCGAACTTCAGCTCACAAGAGAAGGACTTCAGTTCTAAGGACAGTTACAGCAGTGAGGAAGAAATGCAAGTGGATGCTAGTGACGGAACTCTGTCTCATTCTGATAACTACACAGCAGATAACAATTGTCAGGAGTCTGTGTGCAAGACTTCACGCCATAAAAAGAATACAAGTCTTGGTGCCACCAAGAAATGTTCAAAGACACAAAGGAGTGTCAACTTGGTCAACCGGAAAACAGAGGACAACATACTTATTCTGTTGTCTCGTATTTCCCAAAAAGAGAACCCGACAAAATATCTTGCGAATGTGGAGAGCTTTCTGTGCCTCCTTCGTTACATTGGACATGTTCCGCTAGCCTTTCCAAGGAGTGTGCGCATTCTGGGTCGGGTGGTTAGCAACCTCTTCTGTCTTGAGAGCCTTTTGGGATTCATGGCGCCAGCATTGATATTCTTAGAACTAATGACTTCTTGGAACCACCGGATCTGTGATACTAGATGTCACAGTGACATGTTTTGGACACCATCTCGGGCAACTTGGTTAAACATCGGCAGTGTTTTTTCTCAGAACTCTTGTATTGAAGGTTCTGACGATCTTTTGAAGGCAGGACAATTAATACTGAACGAGTTTGGTGTCGTGGCTGAGATTAATTTTGGTACTTGTCTGCTGGCACAACACTTAATGAAGGAGACGCCCCAACAGAATTATGTCATTGCTTGTTTACCATTCCTTTGCCGGTAGGTGACACATTGTTTTGCAAAAAATTTTTCTATTGGAGGTGGGTACCAAACATACATTAATTAGGCATAATTAACCTATAAGTATAAAGTACAATGAAAATTCAGTTCACTATCATAGGAACGATCTTTGAATGCAAGTTTGCAAAACGTTTTATTCATGTTAGACTAGTTGTTCTCAACTGTTTTTTGGCCATGACCCGCTTAACCATCACTAAAATCCTGGTGCGTCAAAGCAACATATAATTCTTATTATTCAAAAAGTGAACTCCAGTTCATGTGGAGGAAGCCTGAAAGGCCATTAACTTAATTTTACATACCCTGCCCTTTTAGGATATGAGCAATAATGACTCTTTACAACTTCTTATTCCTTGTAACTTATAATATCTGTCTCTTTGCTAAGGGTCCCATCCACCATTCATTCACAAAAGCTTGTCAGTGACCTTTGTTTTCCCATGTACCTTTTACCTTATATGCTGATTCATTCTAGATTATAACAACCTGCTTAGGCTTAATAGGACTTAGCATTAAAACAAAATATAAGAGTCACTAATAAAGAAAGACAAATGACAGCAGGTCTTCAAAAGCAGCAGCAGCTGTAACAAAGAGAAATCTTCCATGAGTGCAGTCAAGCATGACAAACAGCAGGAGCACTCATCAGCAGGCTGGTTAGGTTTAAGACTCCAAGTCCTCCACAAAGAATTATCACATGGTGGATTAAAGCAATGGTTTATGAATGTGGTGATATAGTCATTGTGAGTTCAGTCCCTGTGATGGGTAGTGTGTACTGAAACTCAGTGAAAACAGGGTGAGCAATAACTGAGCAGTACCAAAAATTAAGAATGAGGCCAGTGGTTTAAAACCTTTTTTTTGGCCATGCCCCACCTCAGCATCTCTAAGATCCTGATGTCCCACTTTTTAAGAAAAAAGTGTACTCCTATTCATATGGAGGAAGCCTATAAGGTCATTAAGAACTTGAGTCTGCATATATGCAATAGTATTATCAGTTAACATTTCTAAAAATATCGTATTAATAATATATATATATATATATATATATATATATATATATATATATATATATATATATATATATATATATGCTTCATTTATAGCATTTACTTAAATATTTGTATCTATAAAAAGAAACTTATCTATAAATAGAACATATAAACATAATATATATATATATATCTCAACTTTGATCTGAAAACCTGGGAAGCCCAAGTATCAAACCTAAATGAGTGGCATAAGACATGTTTCATTAAGTTAAAGGATTTAGAAGACAATAGACCAAAGCACCTTGATCAGCTTTGTCAAGCTCTGAAGCATAGATGCTATCAAAATCCTGCTTTAACAAATTTCATCTGTCAGTGTTGTTTTGTCGCCTGTAGCAAGGCTGGGCTAATATCACACTTAAGAAAGCACAAATGAAATGTGTTTTTCCCTTACCTGATTTTCTCCACAACAGCCCCTTGCTAGCATGCATAAGTGTAAAACGAAAGGCACTATCCAATACTGGATAACCCTCATTTATCGTTCAGGATAGGAGAGTCTACCATATATATATATATATATATATAATATATATATATATATATATATATATATTACGATAATCGTGCAATCAATTTACAAATTCATGAATTATTCACACAAAAAACAAATGCAAAGGTTAATGATTTAATTGGCGAGAAATCCATCGTCGCAAACAATTCAAATAATATACAAAAACCTCTGAATCCGTTATGAATGAAAAGATCCTTGTTTCTATAAATTTCTGCCGTATAATCATTAACCTTTGCATTTGTTTTTGTGTGAATAATTCATGAATTTGTAAATTGATTGCACGTTTATCGTAATTAAAATAACTGATCCAAGTGCGACTTTTGGATAATAAGTGCGACATTACTGTAATTATTGAACAATATAGTTCATACCACTTTGACAGAAAATTTACCAGTAAAAAATTCGTTCATCACCATATTTGTACATGAACGCACAACTTTAAAAAATTTAAAATCAAACTCAGCGTTGCTACTGCGCGCTCCAAAAACAGTAACTCATTTTCAATAGCATTTTCAGATACAACAATACATATATTTTCGTTGTCCTTTTATTACTAAGAGAAAAAACAAGAATAACATCTATTCCATACCTGAAGATGACTGTAGGAACAGACGAAAGCTTGTAGTAAAAATAAGAACTAATACGGCAGAAATTTATAGAAACAAGGATCTTTTCATTCATAACGGATTCGGAGGTTTTTGTATATTATTTGAATTGTTTGCGACGATGGATTTCTCGCCAATTAAATCATTAACCTTTGCATTTGTTTTTGTGTGAATAATTCATGAATATATATATATATATATATAAGTAATTACACATGTACATATATATATAAACAAATATTTTTATGTGTGCATACTGTATATGCATTTGTACTCACACAAACTCACTACGTAAAAATTTACTTTTAATAGCTCCTTTTTGAATTTAAAAATCAAAGTGTATCCTATGTTGAAAACCATGATGTTCACCAAGGTGGCAATGACCTCAGTGCTAGACTTGGTCTAAAAATATTTGTTCCCAGGAGACAAATGGGGCAAACTCACAATTACAATGCTTTCATTTAATAATAAATAATAATAAATTAAAATTTTCAAAAAATGCATAAAAATGGCACAATTAAATTTTTTTTTTGGGGGGGGGTTGTATTTCTTAGTAATTACAGTGTACATGTATTATACATATTACTGGCTGTAGATACCAAATGTCAATACAAAATGTAAATTAATGTTTATATTCATTTGTTTTTAATTTTAAATAATTGGTTGATATTTTAAATAGTTCACTGCCCAATTTACACATTAACAGATAGTTTAAAAGCACAATAGAGAATAGCATGCGATTCACCATATTAATAGCAATTATTTGTGTTCATTAGATGATTGTGTGTATCTGCCAATAATTGCTTCTGCATCAAATTCATCTAAGAATTCCTTTTCAATGGATAGAAACATGTATGATTCCAAATTCTACTCAGGCAGGGAATTTCTTAACGTTGTCTTTATGATCTTTAGCTTTGAAAATGTCATCTCACATTGGACTTGAGTAACTGATAGTGTGCAGATGACTTTATAAAGTTCTTATTCCTTTTGATTACTAAAACAGCTCTCAGTGTTTGTTTCTATATTGCCTTTTTATTTGATATAAGGGGACCAATCTATTTGAGGATCATTTGCCATCAGACAAGCTTGACACCCTTGCCAGTCTGATACTGAATAACCTTTAAACGCTTGTAAACCATTTTTTTTTTTTTAAACTGTTGTGGCAGCATTGACAGTTCCTTTTGGGTCAAAATTACAAAATGCAGTGTCCACAATATTCAGGGACGTCGAATTCCAATGCCATGTTTGGAAGATTGTTGGGAGGACCATGTACTTTGTATGTGATAGTGCTCTTAATAGATACTGATGCATTTAGTTGCTGTGAAGGTTGCAAGGCCTTACCCACTCTGATTCAACAACAAGGTACCCAAAGTCTAGATATTTCCAGGGCCACCTACTAAAATATCAAACTCCCTTCCTACAATGACAATGGTTTTCAAGAGAAGAAAGTTGGGTTTGTTACATTCATTTATGTGCAGATACCCTTGAGGAAAAGTATGAATGTATCTTTTCTTCCCCTAGCTATGGGTTAAATAGTAGGACTTTTATCTGGAACAAAATCATTGTTAGAGGTACAAGTTCTTTCTGTCCGTTTCAAGATGCCTTGTGTCAGCATGTCGGAGGAAAGCTCACCAAATCACACGACAATGCCAAATGAGTTTTGTAGTGTCAAGAAATGTGATTGCGCATTCTGCTGTAGGCAAAGAGGATGTTCTATGATGATGTGCGATATAAAGAATCTCTGTCAAGTACGGAACCAAAAATAATTTGAAAATTCTATCGAAAGAGGCTTACAAACATTTGTTGAAACACAGGTTCTTGTACAATCACTGAAGTTAAGCAATGTTGAAAAAGCTGGTCAGTGCCTAGACGGGTGACCACTTGGGAATACGACGTGTTGTAAGCTTTGATGTGTTGGTGGGGTGTAACAGATAATGACTCAGAATTGGAAATTGAAGAGCTAATTCCAGTTGGGTTCATTATATTCACTTACACACACATGCCCTCAGGAAAGGTATGAATCCACCTCTTCTCCCTCCATCTATAGGTTAATTAGCAGGACGTGTATCAGTAAGTCATTATTTTCTCTAAAAACTTCTTACAGTCTAAAAAATATTTTCTGGCTTTAAATAATCTTCAAGAGGTTGATAAAACATAAAAAAAACAATCTATCCAAAGACATTATAAAAGAAAAAAAAAACATTTCACAATGTGAAACTTTAAATTACTTATTTTTTTTTTCTTTCTTTCTATTTCAGAAGTCACAATGTTCAGGAGAAACTTTTGGTTCGCTTACGAGGTTTTGACCTTCTCCAGAACATCGTCATGTCCAACCCAAAGAGCTGTCTTTCCAAAGTCGTTATCCTCGGTTTATCTTACCTGGCTTGTCACCTCAACGTCAAACCTGACCCCATAACACCAACACCCTATCCGAAGTGCTCCAAAACGAAAAAGTCAATAAAATGCTGTATGAAGACGTTTCCAAAGGATATTACCTTTGTGACGGACTATGGTCAGAAGGTGTTTGCCAACAAGGAACAACTTACACAGCAGTCGGATGTCTTCTCCGCCATGCTGACGAGTAATTTTCTCGAATCAAAGAGTGCCGAAATTGCCATTCCCGATATCTCATTAGTTGCACTGAGATTTATTGTGCATTATTTGCATGGTTGTTCAGTTAAGTGCAGCATCATTGATTACATTGTCAGCCCCAAGTCTAGTCTACCCTTCGATGGCATCGTGAACGTGTTGGCTCACGCTGACCAGTATATGTTGACCAAACTGCAGGACTTTCTAGTGAAGATCGTACGAGAGAAGTACCTGAACTATCAAACAGCAGGCAAGTTTTACAATGTGGCTTCACTGCACAACTATAATGACCTGCGGAAAGAGTGCCTCACCTATTGTTTGGTAAGTTTGGTATTTGGCAGCAAGTCTGTTAGTTGCATGATGGATATTCTCACTGGACCGTATGCGAGGGAATTTCTTGATTTGGTCAAGAAAACTCTTAAAAAACATGCAACTATTGACCCTTTTGCTAAAATATAAGAATAAAAGAATAGAATTAATTTTTTTATTTGGTCATGTGGCCTTTTTATATATCTATATATTTGTGTGTGAATATAAGATGTGTGCTGGTGTTAATAAAATAGTTCTTGGTGTAAAATAACAGAGCTGTTAAGTATATATTAATAAATATCCTTACCAACAGCATGACTTGATCTCATGCATGAAGTAATCAGGAATATGTGTATTTATTGATATATATTTTTAGGAATGGATTCTTCATTAATTAATCCGACATATTTTAATGTATTACTTAAACATTATTTTTTTTAATGGATGCTCATATTTGAGTAGATGCTCGTTTTTTTTTTATTTATTAAACAGTATATTTATTTATTTCCATTTACTGGTCTGAATATTCAAGGAATCTTGTTAGGAAAATATACAGGAGAATGTATATTATCCTAATAAGATTTCTCGATTATTCATGGAGGTAGATGGAAATAAATATACTGTTTAATAAATATATAAAAGCATTCTCGACAGCGATGCCTCTTAATCGTGTTTTCAAATTTATTTTGTGCAAAAAACAATTGTGTTTTTCCAATTTTTGGCGCTGTCAGAACCACTGCAAGGTAATTTTACCTAGTCCTGTGAAGTTTTGTTGAAATCGGTTGAAAAATGTAGGAAATCCGATCCAATATATAAACCAACAGATAGACACACACAAACACACACAACCTGGATTTTATAATAAGTATGATACTAATGAGTAATTATTACATGCATTATTATTGGATACAGTTAAGGAAGGAAAAAAATCAGTTTTATCAAAATCATGTTTAGTTTAAATACATTTGTATTTTTTTACTGCAGTAAATAGATTTATAATTTGGTCAATGGCGTAGCCAGGGCCAGGAGTATATATACTAATTTTATATCTCGTATGGTGTGACCCACTTAAAATTAGCTTCAAAATTAGGTCATCAAAAGTCGCAACATATGCGAGTAGATACAGTAAGTGATATTTAGTGAGTTTACAATATTACGAATATCTAATATGTTACCATGAATAATTATTATGAACAATTAATACTTTGTATTAGCTGAATTATTTATACATTGATATGGATAACTCTTTTTTATTTATATTTTAACAGGAGTAGATATGTTCACCTGTTGTTCAGTTTACACACCTCCCTGGTCTTTTGAACAGGAGTAGAGGTTTATCCCTTGTTTCCTCTTTAGGATTAGGTTTCTGGTTCCTTTCAAAGTCTACTGCAAGTCTATACTTCTAACATCTCCACCTAATCTCTGAAATTTTACTTACTGTATTTTTTCCTCAACAATTGATAGGCTTGCCCTCTGTCTGGTTCATATTCTTCACTGGTCTTTTGAACAAAGGGCTGAAGTTTATTGATTGTTATCCAGGCTGTAGGATTGAGTGTCCAGTTCCTTCTAAAGTCTTCTCATTCTCTGTCATTGCCATTAGACCCTTGCATCTTAGTGGTATTATCACCTTGCTTGGGGTGAATTGATTAAAAAAGAAAATTTACATAACTTTTTTTTTTTTTTTTTAATGAAAATCTTCCAATTGCAAAGGAATTGTCTCTTGAATCCCCCAAAGATTCTTTCAACTTTCTTTATTGCATTCTGTTAGCTATTTCTTTTTCTATTATTGCTCACCTTCTTCTCAGGACTGTAAGATATTAGACAAAATTCCTGACAGTATAGAAATGACTATGTTCATCTGTGAACATTTTTGTATTTGGCGATTTTTTTTTTTTTTTTTTTTTTTAATACTCATCGTGTCAAGCGTCTTTATCATTCTGTTAATGATGTCGTTGCTGTTCAAAGTTTTCAATTTTTTCATTGCTCACTCTCTCAGTCAAATAGTGTAATTCTCTACATGTTTCCCTAATAATTCTTCTTTAATTGATTTGTTTCTTATCTCCTTTCCTGGCTCTTGTCGAACATTACAAGTCTGTCCTCTTGCCAATTAAGATCATACTGTAGTATCTGTTCACAAGACTTCTTTCTGTAACCATTATACTGATTGGGATTCATTTCAGGATTTTATTCCTGATGCCTCTTGGTCTGATACTCTATCCTCTTGCCAATTAGGATCATGCTGTAGTATCTGTTCACAAGACTTCTTTCTGTAACCATTATACTGATTGGGATTCATTTCATGACTTTATTTGTGATGCCTCTTGGGTTGATATTCTTAACCTCCCTATTGAGAATTGTGCCACTGAGATTTTTGGTAAAATCAGGCATTGATGATTTTGTACCTTCTTGGAAATACTAGATTAAACCATAATCTTCTCTTTGGTTCACACCTGCCTGTTCAGCTGCTATAGCCCACAGGAATCACTTTTTTCTGGTTGTACCTGTATGGTAGTACTGATCACAACTTATGCCTCTTTGTATCTGCTTGTAATAATTGTAAATGTGTCCCCAAAGAGACTAAGTCTCTGTTTGTTGATAGAATGAGGCACCATATAGCCTCTAACATGTCTGCTTCACGTGATTACTGGCAACACTGTAATAGTGTGTTAAATAAGATTAAGTCCTCTATCCCTGACCTCTTCATTCAATTTGAGGTGTTAACATTTTCTGTTGATAAAGCAGAATGTCTTGCTCATAAATTCTCTTCCAATTCTACTCTTGATTGATCTGGAGTAGCTTTACCTGACTTTCCACTTAGAACTGAGTCTCTATTGAGTGATATGTATATAACTCCCATCCATGGTTTCTGTGATAATCTCTAGACTGGATCTCCACAAAGCATGGTATTCCTGAAATAGTTCTTAAGAAATGTGCTCCAGTTCTGTTTAAACTGTTGGGGACGTGCAGGATTGTTAATTATTTAAGAAAGAATCAGAAGGAATTTTCAGTGGTTGCGTGTCTCACTGCATCCCAAACAAATAAATAAACGAACTTTCAAATGCAATTAAAAATGAGACATATGCAATTTAGAAAACAATGCAACATTTATATACAATTTAACAAGATACAGATTGGGTAGTCAGTGTGTGTCGTGTGGACAAAATTGTGTGTGTAATTGTTAGATTTGTGAATGTCTCTTTGTTGATATTGTTCGTTGGTTCGCTGTCTTTTTGTTTGTGTCAAATATCGTAATTATGAATAATAAGAGTTTTTGGAAAGAGTTTTTCTAGAGTGGTCTACCCTTAAACGTATTTGATGTTTACTTATTTTTAAGTAGTGAATTTAATTCACTGTACCTAAGCAAAGTTGAGAAAAGTGTTCACAGAGTTGATTGATGAATGATTGAATATGAGTCGGCGATGTATCTTCGTGCGCGGCAAAATTGTGGTTCGTAGTGGCGTGGAGTATATTGGAAATTACTCTGCGAATTCGTGAGACTGACTGGCATGGAGTTGGTAATTGTCTTTAACGTCTGGTAAGCAATGACTAAGACGGGGAGTCGGTGAATGTTACATCTTGAAACTTGGTAATTACTGCTGCTATTCTCTCCGAAGGTTCAAACGTTCTCTGTTTATATATCCACCGGGTGGCTCACTTGAATTTGGCGCAATTTCAGTTTTGCACGTGAACTTCAAGTGATTGACCAATGGGGTTGTTTGCTTCGTTTTTTGCCGTTTTGATTGGTCAAAGTTTTTTATGTACGTAGGCGTACGATGTGGACTCTGCTTTTGTTAGGGTTAGAAAGGTAAGGATATTGGATGAGTCCACAAAACTCTATAATAAATGCCTTGTTGCTTGTTGGAAATCCTCTTCTGAAGTTCCACTATTTAAGAACTTGGAAGGATCAGACAGTTCATGTTTTGGCAATGTACTAGAGGTTCTAATCAACTCTGAATTGGTTAAGCAACTCACCTTGCAGTGTCTTCTTTCAGACAAACAATATGGCTTTCACTTTTCTAAGCCAATATCTGATGTGTTAAATGTTATTGTTGAAAGAGTCTATCAAGCTTTAAATAAGAATGATAAAGTTTGGGCTATTTCTTTAGATATCTCAAAAACATTTGACAGAGTTTGGCATGCTGGTCTTCTTCACAAATTGAAAGGTTATGATATTTCTGGAGGAATGTTTGATCTGGTTGAATCTTTAACAAATCACAAGATGAAAGTTGTCTTGAATGGCCACTCTTCTAGATCTTTTTGCATTAATGTAGGTGCCCCTTAAGGCTATATCCTTGGACCAACACTGTTCCTCATTTTCATTAGTGAGCTTCTTAATGTCATCAGTTCTCATCTTGGTATCTATACTGATGAAACAACTATTTACTCCTGTCTTCAAGGTAAATCTGACTAGTTCGATAAAGTAAAATTGGCAGCTGATGTAAAATATGACCTACAATCTGTTGTTAACTGGGGCAAGGAATGGCTTGTTAATTTTAATGACTCCAAAATGAAACTGCTGTCTTTTAATCATCTTAGAACACAATTTTTGCTTTCCATCAGCATGGCTGATGCTAGCCTCAAGAAAAGGGACTCAATGAGCCTTCTTGGGTGTGTGAAAATTGGTCAGAAGCACACACACACACACACACGATATATAAAATTCCAATGGGCAAAACAGTGGTACACAGTCAAATAGACAAATCAATTCCACAAATGCTATCACCGTTCCTCAATCTCAGGTAAGCAACTCCTCTCGCCAAAAACGAGTCTCCGCCTTTGAATGAGCGTACCATACTTTTATGCATCTGGCCAGCCAATGGGTGCCCAGAACCAGCCAATAAAAATGGCTACAAGCAACACCACCAATTCTGTCCACATGAAGTGCTGCCCAATTCACCGTTTCCATACTCTGTTGCAAAACATACACATGACTCTGACCCTTTTGGGTCACCGAGGTAAGTCTCCGTTACATTAGGCTAACGTTTTCCATCAATATGAAGTGAATGAATCAATCGCTAGGTCTGCTGCTAGGAAAATTAGTTTACTGTGTCGTGCTAGACATTTTTCCCAAAAGAATCTATTTTACACCTTTATATATCTACCATTTGTCAATGCATTGAATATTGCTACCAAATCTAGTCTGGTGCTTC